GCAAGCCCGGCTTGAGTCCCAGTTCTGCCACTTTCTAGTATGTGAACTGTATACGTCACTTAAAATTTCTTAGCATCGTCTCTCTTACCTGTTAAATGCGGAGATAATTAACAGCATCCACCTTTAGGTTTTTGTGAGGATTAGTGGGGTCATGTCAAGACTAGGGCCTGGCACCCAGAAAGTGCTCAATAAATGTTTGCTATCATGAATTTATCTCCCATGCCTGGAGTCTGTACTCCCCCATAACCTTTCCATTCTCTACCCTCATGGTCCCCGAGAGGAGGAGCCAGAAGGATGGAGAAGTCTGAAGCCCACAAAAGCTGCAGGGGTGAGCTCCAGGTGAAAGCTAAGAGGCAGGTGTGCCGGAGCAGTGGCAGTGACCGAGGACAGAAGGGGAGGGCTCAAGCACTGTTACTCTGGAAGCCTGATTGGATCCTGGTGCCCGGTCACATGTAGGGAAGAGCAAAGAGCAAGGAGTCACAGATGACTCTGGGCCTCAAGTTTGGGGGATGGGGTAAGAGTGATTCCAGAGGGAAGATGGAATCTGGAGAAAGACCAGGTCTGGGGTCACAAAAACGGGTTCGCATTTGGAAAAGGGAATCTGAAGTACCTGACATAATAGAGAAAGGCATTCTCGAGTCAAGGTGTGGGTGTGTGTGTGTTTGCGCATGAGAGAGAATGAGTGAAAGAGATTAGAACTCTAATGTCAGTTTGACAACCAATGCTCTGAGTCCTTTGTAATTAAAATGGCTGTCCCCTCCCTGTGAGGACCAGTGTGGCAGAGTGGTACTTGCCAGCCAGCAGGCCCTGCTGGAAATGCCACATTCCGCTGATGCACCGCCATCGTGGTCCCTGCTAATGACACAAAGAAATGTCATTCAGGAGACAGAGTATGTGGGAAGGGAATGAAGCTGTTACTAATGAATAGGCTAATGGGACCCGATGAGCAGTGAAAATCAATGAGGCAAAAACCGCTTGCCTCAAACAAATGAGCGAGGTAAGAATGGACCAGGGCCAAACCACAGTGTATCTCAAGTCCATGCTACAGACTCTGCCACCCAGGGGGACACAATTCACACCGACTGTATACCATCCCTGGCATGGTCCGGGGTCACGGTCGCTGGTGCTTTCTCTTCTATAATGTTAATAGCACGTCTAGGCAGGGACAGGTACGGGGCAAGACGCTGGGCACGAAGCCAGGAAAAAGGCCTGGTCTCTGCCCCCAGGGAGTCATGCAGTCCTATCTCAAAGATGAATTCTAGCTTGTTCAGCCTATTACATGTAAGTTAGATTCTGCACGTCTCCTTTTCTTCCTCCTCCTTCGTCTAATTAAAACTACCACCCTTATAATCATCACCATATCGCCATCATCAATATTAATATTATTTTATCACTCAATATCACTCACAAACTACCTCCGACTCTCTTCAGCTGTTTATACATACCTTTCTTGCAAAATCGTAATCCCTGTGCCCGATTAAGGAACTTGATCTGCTACTCCTATCTGTTGTCCAGACAGCACAGGCTGTGTCCGGGACTCCTTGCACCACTTTCTCTAATATTGGTGCACACATGGCACATTTACCTGGGTCTTGGTTTACTCACCTGTAGAAATATGGCCATATCAAAAGCCACTCATGGCACGGGAGTGTGTAGGCTTCTCCATAATTCCATTCCTGATTAACTGCTCTAAGTAAAGTGTGCGTGAATGCACGCTTTATATTTCCAGGAAGGCGTTTCCCCACCCAAGGCCATATTCAGCATCAGTGGCCAATTGGCTTGTTTGCATCTGAAGGCTCTACACAAGCCACACAAGGCTGCTGTTCCTTCCTTTAACGGAAGCAGCACATAAAAGTCCTTTGGCTGCAGAGGGGTGGCTTCCGCTGCGGAAGCCAAGCCGCTCTCCAGTGGCCTTCGTTGTGTTTTTCTGGCCACCACGGGTCCCCTGATTCGTGACCATCTACTCAGACCTTTGGCAGCCTGAAACACCTCGTCCGTCAGCATCTGTGCCTCCCTGTTGCCAGCACACCGCTTCTCTTGACAACCGGCATCTCCACGCATCCACAGCTCCGCGTGCCTGTCTGGGGTGCTGACTTCGTTCTTTGACTAAACCGTTGACCGGATGGTCCTGGCTCCTAGCGGCTCCTCACACCTGACCCACATCCTGGGAGACGGCTCCCGTTCTCAGACACTTGGTTATCTCAGGCCGGATACTTGGCCCTGTGTCTATGACTCAGGGCCCCCCGCCGTCTAGATAACACCATGCAGATAGGATTCTCTGAAATGGTACTTGACTGGCCTGAAAGAGGTTGTTTGCTCAGTCGGATGCCGAAGAGAAGAGACGTCGATTATAATTGCGAAAACTGTATTCATTTCTTGCTATTTGCTGCGTTCTAAAAACCCTGCTGGGAGAGAGGAGAGGAAAGGGTGTGAACTCGCTCAGCCTTCTGATGAAGACTTCGCCTAAAGGAACTTGCTCCAGCTTAGACCTATGCATAAGGCCTAGCAGCTGCTGCCTTTATTATATGTGGTGACTTGGGCTAAACAAAATGAATCAGAACTGCACACTGTAAGCAAGGGATATGATTTCTGTCGTTTTGGGCTGCCAACAAAATGCCAACAAAATTACAAAGTAATAGCTACTACTGTGAAAGAGAATGAGAAATAAAATAAACTTTTTATGCCTAAGGAAAAGCTTTCCATTCCCTCTACTTTTACAGGGCCGTACAAGAGCCTTCTGTGGGTCCTGGCACCAGACATCCCATAAACAATCATTTGCACACGCCAGGAATCCAAATGTGTTCTGTTCCTGGGCTCTGCACCCTTTACCTTGAAAGGAACAGAGAAAGAGTTTTAATCAGATTTATTTTATATACAGCAGTTGCCTCTTTTGTCAGCAAGAAAGAAATCCAGTTAAATGGATATTCTTATAAAGAGCAGCATAAGCATTTTTAAAATTAAATCACACCTTATAAGACTTGGCCTTTCTTCCCCTTTTCCTACTTCCTCCCAAATTCATCGTGCAAACCTGGCAGTGACCTGCCTTCTCATTGTTTGAAGTCCTGGCAGGAACCTGCAGAGAAAGAGAAAAGCTGTTGTCCAATTATGCTGTAGATGTACATTCAATCCCTGTTGAAATTTTCCAAAAAGAAAATTTGCCTCAGGTGGTAATGCAAACATTCAACATGTCTCCGTGGTTTTCCCACCTGCTTCAGGATTGAAATCTGTAGGGTCCAGATTTCAGCGCATTGATGGGGGATCCAGGTCTTTACAGAAGGTTGTCTTTCTAGAGCCATGAAGGGTCTATAGACTGGGGAAAAGACCAAACCAGGGCAGAAGGGGAGACAGTAAGGAAATGCATGAGACAATTGCAAATTCATAGATTCAGTTCAATTTAGGAACTGAGGCATTCCCAGATGACAAACACAGTCTGAGAGTGCCATAGCAATCTTGGACTGCCATCTACCCTTGGAGAGCCACTGAACTGGCCAGCATTTCAGGCAACTCAAGGGGAGTTTGCTTCGTTATTCCACAAACAATGAGATTAGATTGTAAGCTCCTCCCAGAGAAATAATACATCCTGTACTTTATTTTTGGCACTGGTGCAGGCCCTATAGAAGAGCCTGAGTCTCCTTATTTCCACCTCTGAGCTCTTCTTGTTATGTCATGTTTAGTGGTCAGCATAGTGTTCACGTTTGGAAAGGAGCAAGAAGATGAGAAGTTGAGAATAAAATATAAATATCCGTGCACGTGGCAAGGAGAAGCTCAGGATATTTCAGCAAATGATGGTGGTCACTTTCGTTGGGTAGATAACAAACATCTGAACTCTATGGGAAAAATAGAGACTTTTGCAGCAGAAAATATGAATCCAATTTCTGGTTCTGTCATTTCCTAGGAGCAAGATTTTAAGCATGTCACTTAACCTTTCTGAGTTTTATTCATCTGTTAAAAATAATACTTGTTTGTCTTCCATTCTTACCTGGTATTTGAGAAGGTCAAAAAAAAGACAATGAAGAGATAATGGAAGGGATTTGTAGATACAATGTAGTGTATAAAATGAATCCATTTATTCAGCAAACATTACTTGACCAAGACGAATTAAGCAGTCCTCAGCCCTCAAAACTCAAATAATCCAATCTAATAATCATCGATATGTGTGCTTGAATATGAGGGAAAGCATACCTCTTGAGCTCTTGGGGTCAAGCATAACTGGTAAACAATGCCAGAGAAGCAATTTTAGCAATAAAGTACATCTCTATGCCATGCCAGATATGTTAAATTCCTCTTAGATTTAGTATAACAAACCAAGTGTAGGAGTTGGGTGAAGGGTTGGGAAGGTTTCTATAGAGCAAAGGAGAGTACCCATTCTGTGGGGCATCCAGTAGGCCATCCCCGTGTAATTCAGATAAAACGGTGAGAGTACACCTCCTATGCTTCTGGTCTATTTTTTAAATATCAACCTTGGTTTTCTCATGATTACTTTCTAGGAAGACCAATAAGGAAACAAAATGAAGGTGAGATTTAAAAACTCCTGTGTTTTCAAAGGAAAATGAGATGGCCTGACAGTTTTCATCTCACCAAAATGATTCTCAGCTCAACTGTGAACATACAGATATATTTTACATTGTCTGTAATGGGACCACTCTAACATCAGTATACAAATGCGTATGGTCAAATTCCCACCTGCTTCATGGAGAACACCAGTCTAACAGAACCCTCTCTACATATTTCCAGGAATCTCTGGGGATGCACTCATATGTGCCTAAATTAGACTTTGCCATTTCTTGCAAATACTGGCCAGAAACAACCAGTGTTCTTGATATCCCAAGTTAAAACTTTATTTATTTAGTTAGTTATTATTTTTATGTTTATTGATTTTTGAGAGAGAGAGCACACACACATGAGTTGGGGGGGCGGGGGCAGAGAAAGAGGGAGACACAGAATCTGAAGCAGCCTCCAGGCTCTGAGCTGTCAGCACAGAGCCCGACGCTGAAGTCAGACGCTTCACTGACTAAACCACCCTCATGCCCCAAACCTTTATTTTTAAAACTGTGTTCTTATCGTGACAGATGCTTCCCCTGAGCTGCAAATCCATGGTGCCCAATGTGGTGAAACCCGAAGATGACAGCTGTGCCTCCGGGTTGGAGATCTTGCCACTGTTCTTGCAGACTGTGATGGAGACACTCCAGTCTTAAGCTTAGGTTGGTGCTGGCGTGGGATCCCTAGAGAGCGATGTTTGGATCCCGATATGCCACGGTACTTAATGCTACCTTTCTTTCAGTGCACCTTTATTCCAGGCAAGCAGACACAACACAACACAACACTGGGTCAGGATGACTTCTGGTGTCCTTTATCATTAACCTAGAACCTTCACTTTCCTGCAGTGCTTGGACTGTTTTCTGATTTGGGTTCACTTTTTGAAATTGTCTTCCCTTGCTGGGGCCACCTCTATCTAGTTGACACAATGGATGCCTGAACCCTAATGGTGAACAGGCTTCGATTCCAGGATGCTCCTTAGGCCCGGGGTAAACCAGTGGATTAAAGCAGAGTTGTGGGCAATGGGTGTTGCCTTCCTCTACTCACCAGAACTAGGCAAGCCTGGCTCCAGTCTAGCCAAGGCCCCCATTACTATTGTCAAGCCAGTCCAGCTTTCATTTTGTTTCTGGAACACAGTGAGCTCCTTTTTGCTTCAGGGACTTTGCACCTACTTTTCCTCCTCCGGGTACTCTCTTCCTGTTGGCTGCTCATTTGTCCAGTGGCAGCTTCAGTGTCACCTCCCCAGAGACACATTTTCTCAGTCACTAGTACATTGCCATTTATTTCCCCCAGAGGACTTCCACAATCTGCACTTGTCTTGTTTATTTTCTTGGTTCATGGAAGATCCACGAGAGCATTGGTCTTGCCTGTCACTGCTGTATCCCTGGGCCTGGCAGAGTGAAGGGCAGAATAATCAACAAGGCAGTCAACACGGATGGAGCACTTACTATTTGCCAAGTACTGTGCTAAAGACTTTCACTCATAGTAACTCATCTAATCTTAACTAAAAGCCTAGCTAGTTAAGTACCATTATGCTCTCCCTTTCTGTAATAAGGAACACTGAGGTTAGATAAGATCAGGGACTTGTCTAAGGGCACAGAGCTAATCGGTGCTGGTGTGGGGGCGCAAACCTGGGCAATCTGACTCCAGAGTTCATGCACCGAACTACAATGAATATGGCCTCCTAAATTACTATATATTGTGTCATTTTGTCTCGTTCCAGGGATAAGGCAAAAGAACATCCCCTGATCACGCTCACAGAGAGAACACTGCCACTTTGGCACCCACTTGGAGGGAATGTCTCCAGCACAATGATTCTGGTGGAAAATAGACACGGGCAACTAAATACCTCTGGGGTACTTGCCTTGCCAGATAATAAAATTTAGTATTTGTTGTACATATATACCTATGATAATAGCACCCAAAAAGATATGTAATAATGGAACTGAATAGGGAGGACAAAACAGATCCAAGTACTCATGGGAACTTAATATATGGCAAAGATGACATTTTAATTCATGGCCGAAGTTAGCATATACGTAATGACTACTGCTGAAATATCTAGAAGGGGAAAAAATGGGATAAATAAAAGATACCACACATAAACACCAGACAGACTATGTATCTAAATTTTTAAAAATGAGAGGCGCCTGGGTGGCTCAGTCAGTCGAGCGTCCAACTTCGGCTCAGGTCAAGATCTCACGGTTTGTGGGTTTGAGACCTGTGTCAGGCTCTGTGCTGACAGCCCAGAACCTGTAGCCTGTTTTGGATTCTGTGTCTCCCTCTCTCTGCCCCTCCCCTGCTTAACGCCCTATCTCTGACTCTCAAAAATAAATAAAAGTTAAAAAAATTTTTTTGAACATGTAGGAAAAGACATAAGCAAATTTTAAAATATACTGGGAAATGTATTTGTTACACAATTACCTTAAGATCCATAATATACAAAAGTATTTGTGAAACAATATCTTTATTTTCTTAATATGCCAAAAAAGTCTCTTAAAATGAAGAAAAGACAAACGCTCTATGGATCCGAAGGGCAGAGAAGGAAATGTACGTAACTGACAGGCTGTGATCTTCTTAGCAGTCAGGAAGTTGCCAAAGAAAGAAGTCAAACGCCATTTCCCACCTACCGCATGGCAAAAACATTTCAGGGCTGGTGAGGATCTTCAAAAATGGTGGTCATGCTCCCCTCACTGCTGGTGGGAAACTCAGCGAGGCTCTGTTAGGTAGTCACAGATACCTGTTAGGTATCCAGGCATTTGTTAGAGGTACAAGCATGAGAGGAGGAAACATCTGAGGAGGGAAGATAAGAGGCAATATAACTAGTAGGCATATGGAAATGTTTTGGAGGCAGAAATGTGGATAGAATGCTCACTCAGGCAAAGTATACAGGTGGAGAACAGAAGGGGCTAAAAATGGAACCATGAGAATCATAACCATGTAATGGACTCACAAAAGAATAACCAGTAAAGGAGACTGGCCCTTATAATCAATGTTCACTCATTTCAAGAGCTATTTTATTTTATTTTATTTTAAAGTTTTTCTTTTATTTATTTTAAGAGAGAGCTAGAGAGCAAGTGGGGGAGAGACAGAGGGAGATAGAATCCCAAGTAGGTTCTGCACTGTCAGTGGAAAGCCCAATGCGGGGCCCGAACTCATGAACTGTGAGATCATGACCTGAGCCGAAGTCAAGAGTAGGACGCTTAACCGACTGAGCCACCCAGATGCCCCATCATTTCAGGAGTCATTTTAATCGATTTGTCTTCACACTTATGATTCGTAGAGTTATGGGCTTGTCTTATTCTGTTCCCACCTTGCCCCTTCTGCCCCTTCACAAGCCATAATCCCTTCATTAACACAACCCTATATTAGAGCAAGAATGCTAGAGCCAACTGCCTTGGCTTCACATCCTGGATCAGCCACTTCGTAGATACGCAACCTGGGGCAATTTACTAAACTTCTCAGCCTTTCATAAGATTATTATGAAAAATAAATGGGTTATATGTGGAAACCACTTAGTACATCCAATAACTATTAGCTATTATAGTTAGTATTTGCAAGTCCTCATGCTACTAATTTTCAGATACTATCTTGTGCGACTTTATTGAACTTCACAAAAGCCCTTTGAGGTCAGTACTGTAACAATTCCCTTTTGCAGATGTGGAAGAGGTTTAAGAACCTGGCCTCACATCAAGCACTTAGTATGAGATAAATCTGTGCTCAGGTCCCATCTGGACTACACAGGCCAAGCTTTCAGCCTTACATTATTCTGCCTTTCCTCACCTTCTTTTAAAGATGGTCATGTTAGCATATACCTGGGTCATGATAAGATCCTGGTACTTTCTCACCCCCCGCCCCCGCCAAAGTTACCTCTGTATTCATTTGCCAGTAAAGAAAACCTACCTACTATTTTTCCCTCTCTCCAGCATGACATCTCACTTTGGGGGAGAATGTCCCCAGGTCATCAAAGGTGTCCAAAAATGTTTCATCTCTAGCCATTAAGACCTGTGTGCACATATTCTCCCCCAAACAACTGGTCACCAGCAGAAGGAGGATGGTCCTACAAAATCTCTTGTCCATCCTCCAATGCACAGAAGATTGCCAGAGGCTTCTTTCCTCCACACGTGTAAGCCTTTTTTTCCCGTCTATGGGTGGTGTCCTTTCTGACATTAAAAAATAACTTATTTTTCTCAGTCTAAGAATGTGTATCATATGCATGCTACGGTCAGTGCCCAGCCGCCAGGCTGACACCATACACAACCTCCCTTTGCGCTTAATGCCTCTGTCTTCCTCCCCACGTGACAGGGCAGCAGCCTGCCCAGACTGTGAAGGGACTGGAGCGAGATGGGTTGTGTTCTTTTTCTCCTGTGATACATGATTTCCTTTCAGCAGCAAGCAGTTCCTGCGATGCTGTCGATGCTGTCTCCTGGGGACACGTTGCTGCACTTGCCTTGAGCTGCCCTGGTTACATGGTCTGGGCTCATGTACAGCACTAATTCAATTTACAATGCAGTTACATAACTGTTCCCAATCTCCAGTTGACCTTGATGTCAAGCAGCGGTCAAGTTGTACCAACACAGAGAAAGGAGGAGGAATCTCTGGTCAGCCCTTGAGAACATTTCAGCTGGGGTTCTGGAATGGAATGTGGCATAGAAAGGCCAAACCAGACCAGGAAATTCTTTGAAAGGGTGACAAGCAAGGGTTGTTGATTTCTCTAAGATGGATGCAGTTGACATTCAGGGCAATCCTTTGTCACTCAGGATTATGGTAAGTGTCCTCTGACGAAAGATAAGGGGGCTGTCTTCTTTCCCAGGAATCTCTGGAAGTAAATGAGTCTTTTGGACTCATGGGAAGTGCTCTGAGGAGTGTCCTCAGCTTGGAAATCTCTCAAGGGCAGGCTTTCCACGCATTCTTTTCCAGAGAGTCCTGGTTCTTCTCAGTTCTAAATAGTGACAAGAATAGCTTCTGGTCTTAATAAAGTCAGAAAACCAGGGGTTTTTCAACATGAAAGCAAAAATACAAAGTAAAGCCTGAGCAAATTAGTCAAAATTTCAGAAACTCAATAGTATAAAAGCTCTCTGAGAGCAGGGATTATGTTTAGTCTGTTCTCTGTTGTATTCTTAACACCATGAAAACATCTAGCACAAAGGGGGTGCTGAGAGAGTATTTGTGGAATGATGTATATAACATGGCATACAATATGATTTATGGATAGTGACAGTTGATCTTATTCTAGTTAATTTGCCCAAGGCTGCCATACCAGAAGTTTTCAGAACTCTGTTCTACATATTTATTTACATACATGTCTGTGCGAATATAATGTTAAATAAATAATACACAAAGTTACACACCTGGTGTCACTTTATAGCTCTATCTATATACTAGTCAGGATTGATGACTAGTAAATGGTTGCTCAGCCATGATGAGCACATTTGGTACAGGGTGCCCTAGGCTGGAAGGTTCTGCACTAAGCAGAGTTCATCCACCTTCTCTGGCTGTCCCCATTGGCTGGTCTGGCTTCTTGGATGTGTGACTTGTGCAGGTGCACAGGGCCCCTTACTTAGAAGGCCTGGACAATAAATTACATACAATAAGTAAATAAATAAACTTTAAAGACATTAAAATATAAAGAAGAAGAAGAAGAAGAAGAAGAAGAAGAAGAAGAAGAAGAAGAGGAGGAGGAGGAGGAGGAGGAGGAGGAGGAGGAGGAGGAGGAAGGGCTGGGTTTGGTTTCACCCTGTCATGATCCTGAAATTCTTAATGCTAATTTTTGACCAGGAAGACCCCACTTTCACTTTGCACAGGACCTCACAGATCAGGTAGCTGATCCTGTCAAAAGTACACAGAGAGCTAGTGTAGTGGTAAAGCATGCACTATCACCTACGTGTGTTAACAGCCCTTGGTGAGAAAAACAGCTGCTTATTGAGCAAGCCAACCATTAGGATAATACACATATCAAGAAAGGAATAGTCTACTATTTAGAAATCATCAAGAGATACTAACTGATTCATTAACTTCACTAATGACAGATACATGATATGTACATGCTTTGAAAAAGGTAATCAGGGATATAATTCATAAATTCACTGGTAGTTCTCTGCTATTTACCGTGCATCTCTGCTCTGGCCATCTCTACCTACCAAAGTTCTACCAATTTTTCTGGGCCTATAAATATTCTTAAATCATCTATATTGCCTACCTAAATATTTCTTACAACATAAACCTCTTGATTGCTAACTATTGCTTTCTCTGTATCACATTGTACAACTTGGTCAAAATCAGTTTGGGACTTGAATAAATCCTATCTAGTGCTTTACATAAAAAAGTGTTGGGGCGCCTGGGGTGGCTCAATCAGTTAAGTGTCTGACTTCAGCACAGGTCATGATCTCA